ACTTCCCCCTCTCATGCCCTCACCCCCTGCTGTCTGTGTCCGTTGGTGAGGCCCATGTGCCTGCACACAATCAGTCACTTACCACCGTGTGTGATAAAACCGTAGGCAGTCAGCAGTTGCATCATGTGACTACGGGTGATCACATTGTTGTGGTTTTCCCACTGGAGGAAATAGAGTTTAAACTTTTTCAAGGACAGTTATTACCAAATATAAACTGCATATAAACACCATCACTGTATTTTCCTCCAGAATAAGTTGCCATTTAAGATATACATATTTGGTTTTAGAGAGAGAGGAAAGGAGAGAAACATCAATTGGCTGCCTCCTACACACCCCCTACTGGAGACCGAGCCAGAAATCTGGGCATGTGACCTTTTGGTGCACTGACGACGCTCAGCCACTGAGCCACATCAGCCGGGCATCACGTATTTTTTTAGAAATCTGTTGTCATCTCACAGTCATGGGAAAGGTCTTACAGTCCTTCAAAGTAAAATTTTAATCTTTATTTCTGTAATTACTTTCTTACTACACTTACTACAGCTGTCTTGAAATTAAAATGTTGCCAATATCTTGTGTTTTTTGGTGGCTAGATGATTCATTCTTTAAATAAATTGTTACACTGTTTATAGTTTGTCCTCCTTTAACTTCATACTAATCTTTGAATTAAATAATTCTCATTAACATCAGCTTTAGGTTTGATGACTGATTTATAATGAACCCGGTAATTTTCTCTAGTGTTAAAGGTTCAATTACAGTTTTAGAATCAGGATTTTCCCAGGCATTTTGAGGTTAATTAGCGCGGCACCTCCTCTGTAGAGCAGCCCTGTGCCGGGGTGGCTTGTCACATGTCTAGAGAGACAGAAGCAAGATAGAAACGACAAGTGTGTTTCAAAGGCAAACCTAGCTTCCAGTTTTGGAGCATTTTCCCATCAAACTCCTGAACACACTTCTGGTCTTTTATCCTAGTTCTTTCCCGTGGGAAGTGAAGAAGAGACCGTTTTTCCAGCTGTTACTCCTACACAAACAGAGAGAACCACCTGGGACCCTCAGGTAAAACCTGTGAAGATCATTGTTTTCTAACTGAATGTGTTTTCCCGCGGTTTTCCACACGATCATCAGAGCTTTCATGGGCAGGGGGGTGGGGAGCATGATAGTACCCCCGGTTTTAAGAATGAGAAACGAGGGGGTTCTGACCACGTTAGGTCGTGAGCCCTCGCTGTGTTACAAGTGACCTAACCGGTGCGTGTGCCTAGGAGGCCCGAGGGGCTGGCCATGGGCTGTGAGTGCCGTTAATGACAGTTCCTCACAGCCGTGACCTGTAGTGCCCACCTGCTGACGTGGCGCACAGGTGCCCATAGCCCACCCTAGGGGGCGCTGGAGAGGCAGCATCCCCGCCTGGCTTCCAGTTGACTCTACTGCAGCCAGCATCTCGGGAGGGAGCCAGGGCACCTTGGAGCCAGGCATCCGTGTGTGGGGGACGTGTCTTCGCCAGCACAGCAGACGTCGTACACTGCCATGCGTATTTTTAAAATTCAGTCATGTTTTCAACAAAAGTCCTGGGGCATTTTAGATTTGATTTTCCTTTCAAATGTGTGACCTAGAATATTTATTTTTAACTAGGAGAATATTCCTATTATGCCTCACGGTCATGTTGTTCATTTATCAGTTAGAAATAAATTCGTCCTCTAGGTACATGCCTTTGGCCCGATTAGCCTTCTCACTGTTCCAGTTCTGGGTAGGCTCGTCCCCGTGTGCTTGTGAAACCGCCAGCGCCCTCCCGGGAGGCGGGGCAGCAGAGAAGGCTGCAGCCTGAGAGCTGGCCGCCCGGCAGCGCCCCCTGCTGCCTCTGTCGGGGCCACGCTCAGACCTTGGCTCTCCCAGCAGGGGATCAAGTCTTCTGGGAGGCAGATCCTCCGAGGGAAGCCTGATATCTACAAACTTCAAGAAAAGGCTCCCCGTTCTCCTCCCCTTCCCGTTGCCGTGTTTCTTGCCGGCCGCCTCTGCCACGCGTGGTGTGAGGACTTCACTGGCGCCGGTGGAGCAGAGGGCTCTGTCCTCAGTGCTCCCAGCAGAGCTGGTTCCGGCCGCAGTGAGCGGCAGGTCTGCAGTGGGCGGGGAAGGGCAGAGCGGGCAGCGTGTGCCCTGGCTCAGGTAGCTCGGTGCCAGTGCAGTTCTGTGCTCACAGTAAAATCACGCTGGTTGCTGTTGAACTGGAGCCCAGTTAAATCACTGCACTTCCGTCACCTCGAGCGAGTCGTGGGGTAAGGGCATCGGTCCCCTCGTCATTATTAACATTAGTGATATTAACAATATGAACAGAAAGCTGACTTGTGTATTGTTTTCTCCGTATAATTACATTGTGAACACATGTGTCCGTTGTTCCTAACTTCCCTGTAGCCTGTTGAGTTCCAAGGGCACCAAGTGCAGGGGTCGGCGACCAGTGCTGTGATGGTCCGAGGGCACTGCCCGCCGCTGGGCTGCAGCCCTTTATCCAGACCACTGCCTCTGAAGGCCACCCTGGGACTGCCCTGGGGCAGTGATGGCAAACCGTTTGAGCTCGGCCTGTCAGCATTTTGAAAAACCCTAACTTAACTCTGGTGCCGTGTCACACTCCAGTAAAAAAAGTTTTTATAGTTGCATCTCCCAAAATCATTTCCCATGTGTCAGTGCTAAATTTTATGAAGGGAGTATGTTTAAATCTTTGTACAGTTGTAACTTGACAAGAAACAACATCTCAAATCAAACTAAATAGGGCAAAAATATTTTATTTGGAAGATTTACTTCTTTTGTAGGATCAGGAATTTAAAGGATCACTTTTCCCTTCAGAGAAGACTGGGGGTTTATGACAGTAGCGTGCAGTCGGGTTACATTTGTTTAGCAGCTAGTAGCTTTTTTTCTTCTATTTCCCCCCAAGTATGACACCAAGGGCCTCGCATTGCTGCCCGCTAGAAGCCATGCCCGGTGTCTTTGAGCAGCATCTGTTAGAGATGTTTAAATTTCCCTTTCGTTAACCATCATACACATGCAGAATGAGCACACAGCTCAGGAATGACCGCAGAGCGGACCCACCCTCAGGAACAGCGTGACCAGCGTCCCGGCAGCCCCCTCTCCCAGGCCTGCTTTTAAAGCTGCGTGTGAGGAGCGGGCAGTCCTGACACCCATCGCTGCTGGTGCCGGTGGCTGTAGTCACGCGTTCCCGGGGCTGGTGGGTGTGCCATTGTGCGAATGCCCCCAGCTCTCCGTGCCTCAGTGGCTCACGCCGCAGCGAACACCCATGTGCTGTCGTGAACCTGCCCACGTGGCATCTTCTGTTAGTCACACGGTCCAGAAGCGGGATTTCCTGTCTTGTAGGGGCAAAGCCCTGCTTTTCTGAGATTGTAGAACTGGCGGGTGGGCGCCCCCAGCTGGCCGGTGAGTGAGAGGGGAGGAGACGGGGCACAGGAGCAGGCCACACACCAAGTCCTGCCTGTGAGGGTAACAGCGTGAGGTTGTCCCTGAAGGGGTGTCAGCAGAAAGCCCTGGGACGTGATTGACATGCTGTGGGGGGATCTGACGGGTGAGCAGTGGGAGCAGGGAGCCTGGGTGACGGCGACTTGGTGTGGGGTTTATCAGGAAGCGTGCAGCAGACTTGACAGGGACACAGGTGTCATTTGGAGGAGACGTGTGGATGCTGCTGGATGGATGTGGAGGGCGGGGGAAGACGGAGAGAGACTCCTACCTCCGGAGGAGGGAACCGAGTGGTTCCCAGGTGAGTCAGGGGAGGGATGTCGGCCAGCTCCGGCCGCCGCACAGGGGGCGCAGCTCGCATTTTACACACATTTATTGCTCACATGTCTGAGGCTGGAAGTCCAGGCTCCAGGTTCTGGCTGATTTGGTTTTCTCTTGAGGACTCCTCCTGGCTCATAGGTGGCTGCTCACTCTATGCGCTCACACGGCCGTTCCTGTGTGTGCATGTGTGTGTGCACGTGTGTGTACTCATTCTCTCCCATCAGGCCGCTCACTTAGCCTGTGAGTTCCTTTAGCTTTTACCTCTTACAGGCCCTATTTCCAAGCACAGGCACATGCATTTGGCTTCCACATGACTTTGGGGGCCATCTGTCAGCCATGTTAGATTTCTGAGGTGATCGATTTCTGGAAGCGACAACAAAATTAAAGGCTTCTAAAGAGTAACGATGAAGAAGATGACTGTTGCGGTCTGGGACAGATCCAAAAAGGTCGCCCATTTGGGAGCAGTACCTTGACGTTTAGGTCAACGATAGGTCCGCTCTAGGCCTGAGGACGTCATGGGCGCTGCTCAGTCCTTGGTCTTCCTGCTCCGGACAGGACGTCTCAGCCTGAGCCCCTCAGGTGGACACTGATCCTCAGAACCAAACCCGAAACCCAGTCAGTGCAGGTCAGAGTCTGTCATGTTTCAAGGAAACCCAACAGGCTTTCCGTTCTGTAGTTCACTTTCTAGTTTGCTTTTTTGAGTAGCACATAGTGTATTAGTAAGTACTCAGTACATGGTCTGAGTGGCCATCATTTCACTTGAACAGGAGACAGGAATGAAATGAAAAGAATAAGTGCGTGCTGCTCATCAGAAACTCGGCCTGTGCCCGGCTGGCATGGCTCAGTGGTTGAACGTCAGCCTATGAACCAAGAGGTCACGGTTTGATTCCCAATCAGTGCACATGCCCAGGTTGCGGGCTCAGCCCCATTGGGGTGGGGAATGTGCAGGAGGCAGCCAATCCATGATTCCCTCTCATCGATGTTTCTATCTTCCTCCCTCCCTCTTCCTCTCTGAAATCAATAAAAATATATTAAAAAATAAGTAAATAAAGTGTTTCCTCGGGGCCATCAGGAAGAAATGCCAAATCACTCTTAGGTCAACTCTTCCTTTAGATCAGTGATGGCGAACCTATGACACGCGTGTCAGAGGTGACACATGAACTCATTTTTTTGGTTGATTTTTCTTTGTTAAATGGCATTTAAATATATAAAATAAATACCAAAAATATAAGTCTTTGTTTTACTATGGTTGCAAATATCAAAAAATTTCTATATGTGACACGGCACCAGAGTTAAGTTAGGGTTTTTCAAAATGCTGACACGCCGAGCTCAAAAGGTTCGCCATCGCTGCTCTAGGTCGTGTGGGACAGGCTGTAGCCCTGGGCCTGTGGAGTTGTGCAGCTCAGCACCTTCTGACTTGTCTCCTTCCAAACCAGTGACTCCTACAAATTCTTGGTTTTGGATCACTTGGGCTTTTGCAATCACAGTGTCACCTGTTTGGACACCATAAAAATGGCAACTAAGATTTTCTGCGGAGAGTATTGAGCTGTAGCTCCATTGAGGGCCCAGAGCCCATGACAGCACGCACGTGTTCAGAAGCCCAGCGGTAACCCAGAGCCCGCCCTCTGCGGCCCCTTGGGAATGAGTGGGTGCCAGCAAGCCGGGCTGTCCCCGCCACCGCGAAGCGTGCTGTGTCGGCTCCGCCACCGCGGGCCTGGGGTCTGCTTATAGCGGTTCCTTCTTGGGGTCGTGGCAGAGCTTCCAGAAAGACCATGGAGTAAAGCATGTCTCAGAGCAGAGCGGGTGACCCATGGTTTCAGGACTCCCAGTCCTCGCGGCCTTTCTCTCTGGGCCCCGGGGTCCCCACTATCGGTTGGTTTGGGGGAGTCTATTCTGCCCTGTGCCGCGGGGGAGTCTGCCCGCTGCGCTCCGCGTGGCGTGGCCGGGGCGGCGTCTCACAGTGTGGATCACGGCTCGCTCGCCCGGAGCGCAGTCCAGGCCTGCGGTCTGCAGCCTTGTTTCTCTCCGGACAGGTGCCCCCGCCCGCACAGGAGGGCTCAGCACCAGGCCCCGCGGCCGCCTTCTCTCTGGGCTCACGCGACGAGGCCTTCCTGCTCGAAGTCCCCGAGGGGGCCCTGCCAGCAAGACCGTCACCAGGTGGCCTTCCCTTCCTCCGCTTGCAGCTGTTCCCGGAGCTCTGCTGTCTATCCGCCGTGTCAGGGAGCTTTCTGTCTGAGAGATTGTACCAACTGAGAACACGTTGGACCAGACCCCAGTCATCCTGGCCTTCCCCGCCCACCTGCCCGCCCTCCTCGGGGCTCTCCTGTGGCAGGTGGCTCTCCCCTCCCCTGGCTCTGGTTCCTCTCGTTCTGGGCACCCAGAAGCCCGGCGGTAACCCAGAGACCTCCCTCTGCGGCCCCTTGGGAATGTCTGGTCTACACCATCGGTTACCCCGGCATGAGGCTTCCCCTCTCTGCTCGGGGTCCTGGCAGTCTCCGCCAGCGTTCCCGCTGCCGCCGCCCGGGTGTGCCAGGCCCGGCTCCCCATCCCGACCCCTGTGCGTGACCCGCTTCTCGATAGCCCCGCTTTCGGCAGGACGCTCCCTCACCCCGTCCTCTCCCGTGACCTCGTGCATCTCCCCGGGTTCTGAGTTCTGCCGGGTGAGGCGTGCCGTCATGGGCTGTTGTTTGGTCGTGGGTGGATGATACGGAAGAGCTTTGCAATGTGCCTGGGTGTTTGGGAGCAGGTTCCGTGGGTGTGGCTAGCGCAAACAGTACAGTAGAGCCGTTGTCTGAGACAGGAGAGTGATACGAGAGTGACAGGCGCCTCCATAGTCACACCAGGAGCCTCTGCGTTTTCCCTGGCCTCACCTCCTCTGTCACTGTTGCTTGATGGCTTGTTGGCTCAAGTACTGCTTCTCTAGCTTCCGAAGTGAACTCCAGTTTATTTCCTAAAAACAGACACTGCCAAGGAGGCACGTTATCATCAAATGGGAAACAGCCCTGTCTGGTAAAACTTCAAGGCTGTATATTCTCACGCAGCATTATTCATTTGTTTATTTATTCAACACATTATTGCTTTTTGCATTTTCAGGGCTATATCTATTACTAACACTCAGCCCAAACACGAACTCTTATCACATACAACAGATCAAACTAAAGCTAAAAATCTTTTCCCTTACGGTCAACATACTAATTAGTGAGTGTGATAAATCTGTAAAGGAAGTTACATGGATAAGCACACCTCAAACTTCAGTCTCTGGAGAAGGAATGTAAAGTGGAGGACATGGTCTGGGGTCTCATCCAGAGTGCCAGTTGGTTGTGTTACCTCTGGGCCTCAATGATCTCATCTGTGAAATGGATGATGATTCCCTTCTTGACTGAAAGTTCTCTGAAAACTTCAGTGCCATGTAATAGAATGTACTAATTGGGGGGAAATTGTCAGCTGAAGGGAAAAAGAAAAAGACAGTTTCAAGTTCATCAACCTTAAAAAAGTTTTAGTATTTTCTTAAAATGTTTTTAAGATATATTTTTATTGATTTCAGAGAGGAAGGGAAAGGGAGAGACAGAAACACCAATGATGAGAGAAAATCATAGGTCAGCTGCCTCCTACTTGCCCACACCGGGGATCGAGCCCGCAACCCAGGCATATGCCCTGACTGGGAATAGAACCGTGACCTCCTGGTTCATAGCTCAACCACTGAGCCATACCAGCCAGGCTCAGAGTCTTGTAATTTATCTTTGAAATTTTTCTTTTCTTGAGACTAAAACCATAAAAATTATATTTTATTTTAAAAAGAGCCCTAACCGGTTTGGCTCAGTGGATAGAGCGTCGGCCTGGAGACTCAAGGGTCCCGGGTTCGATTCTGGTCAAGGGCATGTACCTTGGTTGCGGGCACATCCCCAGTAGGGGGTGTGCAAGAGGCCGCTGATCGATGTTTCTCTCTCATCGATGTTTCTAACTCTCTATCCCTCTCCCTTCCTCTCTGTAAAAAACCAATAAAAATATATTTAAAAAAAATAAAAAGAAATAAAATTAAATGTGATTTTTTAAAGGCAAGTGAGTATTTTTGCTGTTTTGTGTAGATACCCGCAGTGTTTTAGAGCCTCGGCACTGACTTAATACACTTTTATTTAATTGGCTTTTCCCAGGAATGGAAAGACTCAGTTCCCTGGAGAGCCAGCACCTTCCGAGGCTGCCTTCGTTCAGCAGAGCCCGAGCTGCGCTCGTGACTGCGCCCCCAGTGGATGCGCCCCCCGACGGAGACCCTGGGCCCTGGGCTGCCGCCCGGGGCTGGCAGCTGTCTCCCGGCTCTCCCGGCTCTCCCCTGTTCAGCCTGTGTGAGGAGCCAGCCGTTCTTCCTCCCAGCTCTGGGCCTGAGGACCAGAGCGAAACCCTTCTGTGTCAGGCGTCCATGGAGGTGACCCCAGGGCGTGTTTCACTTCACGGAATGTCTGCTCGAAGCAAGTGGCTGAAATACCAAACCACGTTCCCGTGCGCCCTGCCGACTCCAGGCCAGCCTAAGGCAGGTGTCACGGAGGACGGCTTCCCTGCGGCGGCCGTGGGGCTGTGCGGTGGTGACGCAGGTGAGAGACGCCGCGATGCTGGGGACGGCCCCGCAGGCCCCACGCCTCTGCAGAGGGTGCGAGGCCAGCTCCGGCGGCAGCAGCAGGGCGCCGGCCCGCGGGACTTTGTTTGTGGAAGGAGAGCGCTGTCTTTGAGGCTGGAGTCTGCATCTGAGGCTGAGGATGCCCAGGAGGTGTGGGGAGCGTCTGCGTGTGCGACCGGCGTGCAGGTGAGGACGCGTCCCGTGCTCCCAGGCGGTATCGTCTGCATTTCCACAGCCAGGATCTGCTCCTGGAGCCGCGGTGTTGTGTGTGTGAGTGTCCGTACGTCTGCTGTGGCTGACCGTCTTGCCTAGCAGTTGTGGGCGTTAAGTGAAGTTCCCCATTGGGAAGCGTCTGGTGCAGCGTTTAGCCCCGTGGGTTAACCACAGCTCTGACGGTTCC